CGTTATCGATATATCAACTCTTGGCAACACTATTTTGTTTTGGCGCTTTGGCGTACAGGACACGGTAATGCGTTTTTGGCGTGGCGCTCAAAAGGTTAAAGCTTAACAAAACGCAACTGCACAATTTTTATCAATTTCAAGACAAAAACAACCGTTGTTATCGGCTTGGTTGAAAACGTTAACAACCGCCTTCACATCTGTAGTTATGATAATTAAATAAGCGATTTAATAGCTGATTTACAATGAATTCTATGCAGTATAACATAACGCTACTGCACAATATAACTGTTATTCTTATCTTTTCTTAACAATACATTTAAAATGAAATCATGTTACGATAATTAAACAAGTGAATTTCTAGCTGACATACCATGAATTTTTTAGAGCTTCATAAAACACTACTGCACAATTAACTGTTCTTAAAAACACACTTAAAATAGAATTTAAATAAAAAAGGAAGATACATTTTAAAAAGCGAGCAGAAGTTAAAACACCTCCAAGATTATTCTCTTTTTATGAAATTATTAATCGAATAATAATCGAATCGCTATGGATATTATGATGTTATGATAATTAAACAAGCGAATTACTAGCTGATTTACTATGAATTCTTTAGAGTACAATAAAATGCTACTGCACAATTTAACTGTTATTGTTATCTGTTTTAACAATACATTTAAAATGGAATCATGTTATGATAATTAAACAAGTGAATTTTTAGCTGATTTACCATGAACTGTTTGACATAACAATACGCTACTCCACATTTTAACTGTTCTTAAAAATACGTTTAAAACATAATTTAAAAAAATAAAAGAAAATATATTTTAAAAAGCGTGTAGAACTGAAAGCGAAACTCAAATATTATTATTTTTTCATTAAATTACTAATCGAATACAAATCGATATCGTTTCGTTGTATTTATGTTAGTTATGTGGCAACATCAAATCTGACAGCTATAGGAAATATGTCATGCGAAATGAAATCACAATTCAACAAGTAAAAAAGGTACTAGTGAATTCACAACTAAATAGTTGCCATTGTGTTATTTTGTTTGTTATTTTTCAAATAAATTCTCAAGAACTCATATGGAGTGAGATTGTCGATCACATTATAGTGTGACAACAGTTAAAAGTAAGTGTTCAACAGTTTTTAATTTATTAATTCTAGTGCTGATATTTGATAGTGATGAATGTATGAAATGATGAAGTTGTTTTATTTTTTAACATATGCACAAGCTATACCTGACAAACAAAATAGCTTATTTGTAACACGGCGATAAGATTAGCTAGCTAACACCAGATAGTTACGAAATGGACAATTTTTATCAAATACCAAGGAATAAGACAGCCGATTTTTAATTGTTTTTGGACTACTGGTAGGCAGTCAGTCCTTAATTATTAAATAATATAGGGCATAAAGTTTTAAGTAACATTTACCTATATTTGAGTTTAAAGTAAACAAATCTATTTTATTTTGTTCACTTTGTCTTATTTTTTTTTATTTAATATTATTTCAGTTGCCATCGTCATCGCGTGAGTGTCATGATTGCGAAGGATTGATAAAGCAGCAACACGTTAAACTTTAGAACGGGAACCATCTGAATCATCTAGTCCATCCTTGTAGCAATCTAAAGTGAGTAATGTATTGAACCTAGAACAACAAAGCTTAGATCATACATCATACAATATACTGCTGCCTAATTTTGTAAGAGCACCACTCACACAAAATCAATGTTTTTTCCTGGTTGTAACAATTCCAATCCACTCACTGTTCCATCAGCATTGCGGGTATGTATTTTTGTGAATACAATTACTATGTACCTCCAGAATGTAGAATCAGTAACTACCATTTAAATAGTAACTCTTGGTATTTACTTTTAGAATTAATATATAACCATATTAAAACATTTAGTGTAGCACAAATTATAGATTTTTCTACATTATTGTAAGATAATATTTACCATCATATAGACTTTGAAAATATTTACAATATGCCCGAATATACTGTACATTATTAGCTACGCTTATCAAAGGCACAATGCCAATAAATTCTGTCTGAAGTGCCCAAAATGTCAAGTAAACATAGTGGATGCTTTGCACTTGCTGTATATTTGATGAAAGTAAGAACAGGAGATAGTGATGAATGCATATAGGCATTATTGCAAGTACCAAGAAACAAATTAGAGCGGCTCATGAATATGGCCCAAGAAATATTAAATCAGGATGTTGTTCCTATGAATTTTATCCATCGTTACCACTCTCTGTGCCAAATTCTATTCAGTAATTATGATATTATATCTGAGGCAAATAATTTCTTAGCTTTCCTAGATGTTTTTGTTATCCAAAATCCTAACAACATCATAGGTCACACTGTGTATAGAAAAAAGACATACAAACTGATATTTAAGCGGTGAATCTCACCATAATCCTTCACAGTTAGTTACCATGAGCAAATCTTTGTTACAGAGAGCATATGGGATCTGTGAGAACAAGCACCTGGCCGAGCTTCAGCACGTCAAGCAGGTTCTGCACAAAATCAAGCTTCGGGTCCCACGTCTTCGTCACAGTGACCGAGTGAAGCCGACCGCAGTTGAGCGTGTGCCTGCTGTACTACCGTATGTCAAGGGTGTCACCCCAACCAGATAGACATACATCAGATTTGATAGACCACAAATCCTCGTTAAAGAACATTAATTCCTACCAAGGATGATATGTGAGACTACTGAAATTAAAAAACATCCTAATTTCAGTAGAGAAGGCGGTTGGGTACTGCCACCTGCTTGGGACACTATAATTAATAAAATTAAAACAAACCCCAAGCATACCACTGCAAGACTTAAAGATAGAGTAAGTTCAATCTGCGTAGATTGGACTATAAAAATAATAATAAAAAGCTGAAGGTACTCCATGTCCCAATACTGACATTGGGATGGCAGTCACCTCAGTACCCCGTGACCATGGGTGCTATAAAGCACCTGAAACGTCAGGAATTAATAATAATAGTATAATAATGATATAGCCATTTATTTCCGAACTTTGGGGTTACATAATATTTGTGTTTGAGTTCCTATTGTAATACTAGTTAAAGTAAGTCCCTCTGTTCGGTGTGCCTTTTGGCATAGGCCTCCAAAAGAAAAATCACGCGTCGGGAATTAAAAGTTAAAGAAATTAAAAGCAATAAAATTGGTAAAAGTAGTCGTTAAAAAGCTGTATTTGTGAAAATAAAAAGCTTTATATCATAAAAATCCCGACTTTTTTTTAAACCAATTCCTTAACCATTTCATTATTTTAATTGCATATTATCATTTCCATATGCTTTTATATGTGGGCACCCATGGCCGAAGTGTCTATGAACAGTGGGCATCCCCCTTTGGGGTAATGCTGCTAAAACTAAGATACATGAACTTCAAAGAATACAAAATAAAATCATAAAAATACTTTTTCACTATCCCTATTTAACAGCAACTTCTAAAATTTTCAAGGAAACAAAACTTATGAACGTTCAACAACTACACATATATAATACTTGCATTATAATTAGGAAAATACTAGATAAAACCATCCATACTAACTTGTCTTTTGTAAAAAATCACAAATTTGTAAACGCAGTCTTCGACGACCTAGCTTACTTGTACTACCAAAGGTACGACAAAACTACGCAAAAAAAAGCATTACCTTTGAAGGAGCACTGATCTATTATAAATTGTCGTGTAATATAAAAAATGTAAGCTCATTTAGTAGTTTTAAGTCTCAGTTATCACAATACGTAACATACATTTTTCACCATTAAATTGAGGCTATGAAGTTACTGACTGAGTTTCCGGCGACCTTTAGAATAAGTATACTAAAATGTAATTATTATTTTCATTTAAGTGGCATTGTTTGTCTTTTTTTTTGAAAATGAAATTTCTTTCAACTCAAACCGGATTCTTTAATCCTCTTCCTCTTCGTTCTCCGGAACATTTATATCTAGAGACACAGTGCGTTATAGACAAGTATCGTGGCAGACACCCCCAGACATCGTTCATTTACATCTAGCGTGCCATAAGTGTGTCGTGTCAGACATCGACAGACACCGTCGTGGGCGTCAGACGCAACTGCTCTCACTGGCAGTTATTGAATAGCTTTAGTAGGAAAAGCACGTTTATTTTTGCAGAAAATGTTCAGACACTTCTCTGTGGAAGATTTAGTAATAATTGCATTGTAACTAGAAGAAGATAGCCGGGAAAAACTAAAAAAAGAGCAAAATGCATGGCCGTTCATCCTATGCTCAAGAAGAGAAAATTAGAAGGAGAATATTGGACACTGTGTAAAGAACTTATTGACGATGAAGAAAATTTTTTCTTGTATTTTCGTATGAGTCGGTTTCAGTTTGATATTTTACTAAATAAAATAAAACTGCTGATAACCAAACAAGACGCAGATTTCAAGGAAACCTTGTCACCAAAAGAAAAACTAGCAGTATGTCTCAGGTAAGATTTATTAGAGAATTTCTTTGTATCATGGTGGGATCATTCATTAATATTATTCTAACCGCTCATATGTCAGTTCCTCTGTATCTGGTGAAAAATATCCTTGGGAGAAGTCCTGCATTGTATCTGGCATAGGAGTATTTTCTGCATGGTTCGAGTTATACGTTGATGGTGTGGATACCATAGAATTACTTGTGGATGGCCTGCTCAGAATATCTATTTCCATGCGAGAGACTATTTCAAATATCATAGTTTTTGCAATAGCCCTGTCTCTTGGTGGAAAAGATTGCAAGGTAGTTGTAATACCAGCCATAAATTGTGTGGAGTATTTTTCTTACTGTCTATTATATACTTCATTAGTACTGCGCTAGGTGTTTCCTTAGTTCATTTTTGGCCTCGTTTAGTGCGCTTTGGCTGAGGGTAGTTTTCAGTTGTGGTTGGTGATAGTGTAGTTAGTAATGTACCAGCTATTTATTGACGAACCTCAGGTGTAAATGGCGGTCTGTCAGTCGTTTGTTGCCCAACTTCAGGTGACTGAGCAATATTCTGTTCTTCGTAAGCGTTGTCGTAACAAAAAAGACATTTCGTCTTTATACTTCCATTTTTTGTCAGGAATACTAGCCTGCCCACTTTTAGTATCTTTTCTCTTTTTAATAGAACGTCTGAAGGCATCTTGCAGCAACGCCCATGCTTTTTTACATTCTGTTCCTGAAATAAGGAAACAAATTAATAATATTATAATGTTTTTCTTTGCAGATTTTTAGCTACTGGGGTTTTAACTACTACTTTTCATTTCTATAGCATTTACTTAAAGACTAGGAGTAAGCACCGTGCATAAGATAGTGAAAGAGGTTTACAGTGCAATAATAGAACGGATGATGAAGGAAACAATGCCTCTCCCTACAAAAGAACAGTGGCTAAGAATCGCAGAGGAGTTTTGGAATACTTGGGATTTTTCTAATTGTATCGGAGCCATTGACGGCAAGCATGTTGTAATAACCGCTCCGTCAAACTCCGGATCTCAGTTTTTTAACTATAAAAAAACTTTTTCAATCGTCTTGATGGCAATTGTGGACGCTGATTACAAGTTCATATGTGTCGATGTTGATGCTTATAGGAAAATGGTGACGGAGGTATTTTTTTCAAATTCAAACTTTGGAAAAGCATTAATGTCAAACACATTTAACATCCCGGAAAGCAAATATTTACCTGGCACTGAAATTACAGCGCCACATGTTATCATAGGAGACGAAGCATTCCCTTTAAGAACCTCCCTAATGAGACCATATCCTAAACCGCAACTGTGTGACCAAAAAAAAAACACATTCAATGATAGACCATCCCGTGCAAGAAAAGTAGTCGAAAATGCATTTGGGATTTTAGCTCCAAAATTTCGTCTCTATAACAAAAGAATACAACTTCATCCTGATAATGCTGACAAAGTTGTTATGACGACGTGTATCTTACATAATTATATAAAATCTGGTGGTGTTCAGCATTTGAATAATGAAGAAAACACGTCATAATGTTCTTTATCAAACCTACCTAGACAAGGCGGCAATTACCAGGCTGCCGCATTCAATGTCAGAGAGAATTTTGCTAGGTTTTTCAATTCACCAGAAGGAGCGTTAAGCTACTAATAGCTATCTTATTATTTAATATTAAAATAAAATATGTGCTTACCATTCCTTTTAAAATTTATTCCTATTTCGTTCCACGCCTGATCCTTTTTCTGATTGTCACTGTATTTTTTATCAGTAAAATCATAAACGTATTTATATTTTTTTACAATTTCTATAAGCCGTTCGTTATCCATGGCAAAGAACACGTTAGCACGGTCCCGATACTCTATTCAGAGTACCTGCCCTACCTGCCCGGTAGGTAGCCACAGACACGCACAGACATGAACCGCGCAGATAAAATATTCTTTCCGCGAATACTGGCCGGGCACGGCCTGTGTCTGTCAGCGTCTGTGCGGCGGTTTCACGATAGATATAAATACGTTAATAAACACTATATAGAAGAATATTATTTGGTCTGCCACGGCACGTGTCTGGCACGCTCAATGTCTGTAGATATAAACGGACCTGTAATCGTTGAATACCATCTGCAAATTGTCCGAGGATGTGGGAGAGCTTCATTTTAGCATACTCTAACGTATTTATATGGTGCTGGTGAATAATAGTATAAACTTAAGATTTATGTACCTCCACAACTTCTGCTTTAGCCATTAAATCAATCTCAGCATTTAAGTTGAGACCGAATTTATATTTCAAATTTTGTACAATCAATTAGTAAGAAGCACATTTTTTTAGGATAGATATTTTGTCTTTGTATTTTCTTAAATTTCTTGGTAAGTTTCCTTACGTAATTTATTTTTAATTTCAATTTTTCTCGGACTAACAAAAATTGAATTTGAACTGCTTACTGATTCAGACAACGGCGCCGATACTTCCTGTTCGAAACATTTTGTTGGCTGAAAAAAAAAAGAAGATAATAGTGATTTAGGAAGAAAAATTCTGGAGTTACAATTTTAAAAACAGAAACAGAAACAGAAACTTTTTTATTCAATGTAGATTATAACAATACTTATTGAAAGTCACTTTTTTCATTTACCACTGGCTCGCAAAAAAAAACCTCTGTCCTGGGAAAAACCAGCAAGAAACCCAGCGGGACTAATTTTTTCCAATAATAGCTTACAATTATGTTTACAATAAACAACACAAGACAAATTAGAAATAGCTTGGTAGCGATCACCCTTCCCAGGGGTTATTATCATCCATAAATTCCGTAATAAGTTAGACTAAAAGCAAAAGAAAAGGGATACCAATATGTTTGGATAAGAAATAGCCGAATCTTTATGCGAAAGAATGATGAAGCAAATTATATCCACGTCAGAAACAAAGACATGCTACAAAAAATAGAATAATTTAGTTATTAAGTAAATTTAGTAGTTAAGTATATTGTGGCTTTTAAACTTTATGAACAAATTATATATAAAATTCACTTCTCTAAATTTGTATTATCAAAATACGCGGGGTTTGAGAACAAAAAACTAACTTTTTTTATCAGCAAATTCTTTGTTGCGATTACGATGTAGTAGTACTCACGGAAACTTGGTTAAATAAATCTGTTCTTAATAATGAGCTTTTTGATCAACGATATATTGTCTACAGAAAAGATAGAGAGGATGCTGAATATTGTTCTAAAAAAGATGGAGGTGGAGTTTTAATCGCTGTATCCAGAAAAATAAAGTCTCGTCGTATGTTTGAGTGGGAATCTAAATTTGAAGATCTTTGGGTTGTAATAGATGCAACGGTTTCAAAAACTATTCGCAAGATAGCTCTTTGTGTCGTTTATTTAGCACCACCAGTACATTATTCTTTGTTAGAGCATTTTTTAGATGATTGTAGTTTTGTTTTCGAACAATGTGATAGTCATTGTATAATTGGTGATTTTAATTTACCTAGTATTAACTGGAGTTTGTTAGGTCATGTCGCGAGTGATAACAAACTAACAAGACTAAATCAATTCCTAATTGACTTTACACATATGAATGGTTTACAACAACTTAATCATATAGTTAATGCGTCAAACCGAGTTCTCGATCTTGTTTTATCTAACTTGCCATCTTGTACTGTGAGCCGTTCTCATAACTCATTAAGTATTATTGATCAATTACATCCACCTCTTGAGGTTGATTTTACGTTGATTAATGAAACAAAACTCTGTTTTAATAATAATATTATTAAGTTAAACTTTTACAAAGGGGATTATGAAAAGATAAATAAGGAATTGTCAAAATGCAACTGGGAAAATATTTTTAAGGGTCATCATAGTGTAGATGTCATGCTTGAAACATTCTATAGCAAAATTAACGCCATTATTGCAAAGTTTGTCCCTAAGAAGAAAATAAGAAATAATAAATACCCACCTTGGTTTGATAAAAATCTTATTAGAACCCTTAAAGATAAATATAAAATCAGGTGTCGGTTTAAAAAATATCGAAATCCTATGGATGAATTAGAGTTACAATTATTAAGTTCTCGTTGTGGACGAATGGCAACAGAGTGCTATAATCGTTACATTAGCAACTTGGAGAAGCAAATAGCCAGTAATTCAAAATCATTTTGGTCATTCATAAAAAACAAACGCGGAGGTACTAGTGCATACCCTATTTCAATGTCTGACGGAAATGTAACTGCTACAGATGGGGAACAAGTATGTGAACTATTCTCATCTCAATTTGCATCTGTATATACTGACGGGGTTGACAATGCTTCGAATAATTACGTTCTCTCTAATTATTTAAATTATTTAGAAAACTATAGTCTACATCTTTCGCCTATTGTTATCGATAACGAATCACTTTTAAAAAAATTAAAAAGTATTGACTTTAATAAAGGTCCCGGCCCTGATGGGATCCCACCCGTTTTTATAGCGGCATGTGCTAAATATTTAGTATCACCCCTGTCATTAATTTACAATAAATCACTCTCAACAGGCATGTTCCCGGCTAAATGGAAAATTGCAAAGGTTATTCCTATTCATAAATCGGGAAATGAAGATTCAGTAAAAAAACTACAGGCCCATTTCAATACTGTCATCATTTGCTAAAATTTTTGAAGCTTTGATATGTCCATTTCTACAAGATCATTTTAAGCAATTACTTAGTGATAAGCAACACGGGTTTGTTCAATGTAGATCAAGAAACTCTAATCTGGTAAACTTCACTGAAACTCTTTATGAAGCACTTGATGCCAATAAACAAGTTGACGTCATATACACGGATTTTAGTAAGGCTTTTGATCGCATTTCACATAGTGTACTCCTAAAAAAACTGTCCGCATATGGAATCTGTAATGGTTTAATGCAATGGATCTGGTCTTATCTAACCGACCGTACTTTATATGTGGTCATCAATGGCTTTAAGTCGAGTTTGCGTAAAATCACATCTGGCGTACAACAGGGATCTCACCTGGGCCCACTTCTGTTTAATGTTTATATTAATGACCTGCCTTTGTGCCTAAAATTTTCTGAATCTTACATGTATGCTGATGACTTAAAATTTTGCAGAATAATTGAAACGACAGATGATGCACGTAAACTCCAGTGCGATCTTGACAATATCTTTCACTGGTGTAATTTGAATAAGATGGAACTCAATGCAAAAAAATGTTTCTACGTAAAATTTGCTCGGAAAATGAATCTAGTTCACTACAGTTATCATATAGGCAATAATAATTTACAGGAACTACAAGAGACCAAGGATTTAGGCGTCATATTCGACAGCAAACTCACATTCGTGCCTCATATGGAATATATTACAAAACGTGCCACCAAAATGTTAGGATTTCTTTACAGAAATATTAAATTTTTCCGCAGCAATAAAATCAAAATAACGCTCTACAACAATTTAGTACGAAGTATCTTAGAATACTGTTCTGTAGTTTGGAGACCACATAAAGGTCTTCGCACATTATAACAACTCCACGCCAACGCGGCAGCAACTCTACTCACACTCTCGATGAGTAGTCAACTAGTTGATCCACCCAATGGTCACTAGTGGACAACGCGGTGTCAAGGAGTGGCCAACGCGGTGCCAACGAGTGGGTTATTCAACAGACAACTCGTCTAACCTCAGTTTTCGGTTAAATTTTGTCCAAAGAAGTCGTGTTGCTTATGAAATGTCGAACTTTACATTCAGTGAACTGGCGATTATAGCTATTATATTTGATAATGAAAATGAACGAAACAGCAGGAAAAGAAGATATTGGGTACATGATTTGTTGCGACAAAGGAAATCAGAAGGGGAATATTGGAATATCCGGAAACGTCTGCTAGATGACAAAGAAAAATTCTATATCTATTTCCGTATGCCGAGATACTTGTTTTATTATATACTTAATATTATTGAGGACGACATCTACAAAAGAAACACGCGATTTAGAGAAGCTGTATCACCGGAAGAAAAGCTGGCAGTGACATTAAGGTAAGCAATAAGAAACTTTTTTTATAATTTATATGTATTTATTTATATATCAAGTTAAAGGATAAATCAAAGCAAAGCAATTTTACTTTAATTGTGTTAAGAAGAACCATCAACCCTCGATTCTTCCATAGGCGTTGTATTTTGCTGTTGGGTGCTAGCGGTGCTACTACCGGTAGTACCTGCATTTAGGTTTTGAGTTGTGTAGCCAGAAGTTCCTGGTGCAAAAAAATCATCATAGTAACAGTTTCGATTATTTTGCAGTTCTTGTATTTCAGCTTCCGAAACTAAATTAAAAATTCTTGACTTTAAAAGTGCTTGATTATAGGTAGATAATTTTTTTACTGTGCTAGAAATACTTAAAAAAAATTTATCCATTTCGTCATTCTGCTTTCCATCTTCATCGTTTTTTTTTTTAATAAATATTCCATTAAAACCGCCGATGCACTTGTTTCTTGCAATTTCTTTCGTTTTGTCGTTTTTGGAATGTCAGGAAACACTGATCTAGATGAATCGTACATAGACACCGAAGATTCAGGACGCTCCGAGATAATTGACGAGTCTTGAGATTCTTCATTATTAGTCACATTGGCAAGAATTTCCGCAGCAGATAAGCTATTTTCATCATCACCATCATCTGTGTTGTCCACTGACGTCACTGTAGACCGTTCTTTATAATGTGGTAATAAAAAAGACATTTCAGTTTCATATTGCCATTTTTTATTAGTATTAGCACTCTGACCACTTTTAGTTGCTTTCTTTTTTAATGGCTCTTCTATGATATTCCCTTAAGTTTTGCCATATCTTCCTACATTCTGACGCTGTAACAAAATAATATAAATATAAAGAAAAATTGGTTGTTTCAGGTACTTGATTAGTGGCTGTTCATTTAGGACTATGAGTTCAAGCTTTCGGTTAGGCGAAAGTACCATCCGGTCGATATTAAAAGATGTGTGCAATGCGATTATAAATACAATGAAGGGGAAGTTCATGCCCACACCTACTACCGAAGACTGGAAAAAGAATCGCAGATGGTTTCAATAAAAAATGGAATTTTCCAAACTGTATAGGTGCCATCGACGGCAAACATGTAAACATAATTGCTCCTCCTAGCAGCGGCTCGCTATTTTTTAATTATAAAAAACACTTCTCTATCGTCCTCATGGCTGTCGTCGATGATAAATACAGATTTATAGCTGTCGATATAGGGGCCTATGGCAAGAATAGTGATGGCGGAATTTTGGCATCGTCAAGATTAGGAAGAGCGATTGAAATGAATACATTTAATATTCCAACTGACACACCATTACCTGGTACTGAAATAATAATGCCACATGTTTTTGTAGCCGACGAAGCGTTTCCTTTAAAAAGGAATTTATTGCGACCATATCCACGTTCAAGTGGCATTTCAGAAAAGGAAAGAATATACAATAATCGCTTATCGCGAGCTCGCAGAGTAGTTGAAAACGCGTTCGGCATCTTATATCAAAAATTTGGAATTTATAATAAGAATTTGCATTTACACCCAAAATATGTTGATATTGTGGTCTTTGCGACGTGTATTTTACACAATGTCATGCGGTGTTATAATATAACATCCGATGATGAAGTCAACACAAGGCAGAGTTCGGCCAATAATGATGATGAACAGAGATTACTAAGTAATCTAAGTACAATTCCAGAAGATATAAGTGAATCTTCGGCATCTGCTTTTGAAACTCGTGATATGTTTGCAACTTATTTTCAATCTCCCGAAGGACGAGTTCCGTGGCAGCATTTAATATAGATCATGTATAATTAATATGTAATAATCGTAAGAAGTTGGTTATAATATTATTGGCTTATTAAGAATATTAAACAAGTTTCTTTATTAAGCTGGGATTTTATTACTGATTACCTATATTAAATAAACGTAAGGCACTTTATTATAACATACAGAAACCCAAACTAAAAAAAAAATATATATGACGTAGATTTAATATTTTATATCAGTAAATTCTGGGATTTTATATTACTGTATGTGAAAAAACTAATTTTTACGATAAACCAAGATTTTTCGAGTGTCCAAGTAGAAAATCGTAGGTACTGTTAACTGTACAATAACATACCTACTTTTTGGATGTAACAGGTTGAATTAAATTTTCTCAACAATGTACTTTAATGAAATGACTTATAAGTTTTAACATTATTATTAATATCTATTAGAATCACACATATTTATTTGTTCGATAGCTGAATTTCTGTAGATTATGGCAAAATCAATAACTCAAAAAAAAAATTCTTACCTGGTTGCGACAATACAATAGCGATTTCATTCCATGCCTTTTCCTTCTTATGTACGTCACTATATTTCGGATCACGAAGGTCGTATAGTAGCGGATATTTTCGCACTTCTTCTATCAACTTTTCTTTCAGCATGATTTTCGAAAAATTATCACCGTGTACCGCCAACGTGCACTCCGTCCTTCGATTCTATAGTGAATGATGGCGGGCGGGGGAAGGCACGGGGCGGACGGGTGGGCTGGCAAATGGTTGCCCGTCACGCGTCAGTCGCAAACGCATAGTCGTTACGTGGACAACGTTTGGTCGTTGCGTGGACGGCGTATGGTCATTGCGTGACAAACGTGTCGGGGTTGACCTCTAGTGTACGATGCGTAGGCCACTCGTTGTACACTACTTTATAATCATTTTTTGAAATTGAACCTTGAACATATGATACAGGGCTTAAATTTCAATGTCTAGCATAGAGTCGAGTCGCCGGTGAGTTGTTATAATGTGCGAAAACCTTTATGCAACGCATTCTTTACGCTTAGAACGAATACAAAAAAAGATTCATGTGGCATTTAGTATACTCAAATCGAATTTCAAAAAAGAAACTTTCTTCGTATAAAAAACAGCTATCTTTTTTCAAAATTACGTCCTTGGCTAATCGCAGACAAATATCCGACTTACTCTTCGTAAGCAAATTATTGAATAATAAAATTAACTGCCCTCAATTGTTGAATAAGATAAAATTTCGCGTACCTCATAGATACCCCCGTAAGAGAGTAATTACTATTAGATCACCTCTTCGTAAAACAGTATTTGGCGCTAATTCCCCGATCTCTAGGTTAAGTAAATTGGTCAATGAACTTCCCCACGCTTTTGATATTAATTCCGACTCACCTAACAAGCTCAGAAAAGAACTACTCAAACATTATGCAAATGTAATAGATTAAGTTTTTGTACTTTTTTTAACGTTTTGGTTTTCTGTAACTATGTAATATTCTTGATGTTTATTCCAGTGCATGTTGTAATCACCTATAATAGTTTGTAGCATTTAAAGTAATACCCTATCTATGTATGTATGTAAATTATAATTTAACAATGTATACAAATGTTGGTGATGCTTTAATAAATAAAATAAAAAAAAATAAATTCCTTAATATTATAATAACCCTTTTTATACAATCTTAGTTTAATAACATTTTTGAATTTCGTGTATGACAAATTTTGTATATTTCCTGGGAGTTTGTTGTAAAAGCGTATACTTCGCCCCAAGAATGAATTACTGACTCGGTGGAGTCGAGTAACTGGTACTACTAGCTTGTGTCTGTTCCTAGTATTTACAGAATGAATATCACTTATTTTCGCAAAACTACTTTTATTTTTGTGTACGTACATTACATTTTCATAAATGTATTGAGAGGCTATGGTTAATATTTTAATTTCCTTAAATATTTGTCTCAGTGACTCTTTTGGTTTTAAATTATATATTGCTCTAATGGCCCTCTTCTCTAAAATAAATATAATTTCAGTGTCAGTCGCGTGTTCCCATAGCAAAATACCATACGACATAATGCTATGGAAATAACTAAGGTAAACTATTCTAGCTGTTTCAACACTGGTAAGAGTTCTAATCTTTTTCACAGCATATGCTGCAGAACTAAGTCTGCTAGCTAGTTTTGATATATAGGGGAGCCATTGAAGCTTTGCGTCCAGTGTGATTCCAAGAAAAATGGTTGTATCAACAAGACTCAGTTCCCCCCCATTTAAAATTACATTAGTATTGACAAGTTTAACATTAGAAGTTACGAATTTCATACATTTAGTTTTAGTTCCATTCAAATTCAAATTATTAACATTAAACCAATTGACTAACTTAGCTATAGCATTATTTATTTCGTCGTAATTTGATAACTGTCGTTTTTATTTGAAAATTAATGAAGTATCATCAGCAAATAATACTATATCATAGTTATCCCCTACTATGTAAGGTAAGTCATTAATATATACTAGAAATAGAAAAGGGCCGTTTTTAAAAAATTTACATTTGATCAAGAATAATTTTTTCAAAAATTTTACTAAGTGTTGGCAGTACAGAAATAGGTCTAAAATTAGCGGGGTCCAATGTACTACCAGATTTAAATAAAGATATTACTTTACTATGCTTCTTTAAATCAGGAAATACACCAAATTCAATACTAGTATTAAAAATAATAGATAGTTGAGGTGCGATCGCATCTATTATAGACGCAATAACTTTAACAGAAATCCCCCACAGATCGGCGGTTCTCTTAATATCAATAGTCTTAAAATATTTTACAATATCTTTTGATGACACTTTATGAAATGTAAAATTCTTTGTACACACATTTACATTTTGTTTAACCTGTTAGCTCGCTAGGCTCGCGAGGCCACGCGTAATATGACACTCCCGTTCGCTCGCGACCTTTTTTGGCGGGAAAATTTGCAAATTAGCAAATTTTTTGCTATATTGCAAATTTTGCTATATTTTCACTTTGAGACAATATTTATGGATAAAACTTACAGGAATTCTTGTTGAATGTATAAACTATTGAATAAAATTATTTTGGTTGTTAGAAATTATAATAAAATTCATAAATTACCCTTTATAGCATAAGTAGTAGTATATACTTCACTTTTAGTGCCAAAATTACTACTAATTTGAATTCTACACTTTTGTTTTTGGAGAAATTTATATGAAAATGTTTGGAAACATGTATATTTTTATGTTTTATGTGTTTCCATTCGTTACTCATACCAAAATATTAAAATATTATAAAAATTAAAAAAAAAAATAATATTTTATCTGTATGACATTTCGAACAATATTTCTAAAATATGTTTGTGTGAATTTGAAATAAATACAACGTCATGTTATTTGAAATATATACGAAAACTATTTTTACTTACATTTTACACTAAAAATAAATGAGAATTTGAAAAATAACACATTTATAACTCACCTGCCAAAACGGGCTTTCCGGAATTTGAAGTACTTTTGGCAATTTACTTTTCACTTTTTATACCACAAATTACATATCTACGTGTTTACTATATTACAAGGAATATAAAAAAGTATAATACTTTCGTTTTTAGTCCAGACACAAATATAAAATTCTATAAAAAAGATGGAGCACCTTCAACAAAGTGACACGTGGAAAGCCGGAAGTTCAGAGTGATTTCTTTTTTTTTTTCTAAGAAACATTGCCAGGTTATGGTTTAAAATAAAAGAGCATATCTTTGTCTTTGATACTATTATCTATTGCATAGTGTCTTTGGTTTTGTTTTAATTAAAAAAAATATTTTTCAAAGGGTAGTACTTGTGGTACACATGTGTATCTTGATCGAGCGAGCGTACGATGTTTATGTTTGGTACACATGTGTATGCTAATCGAGTCTACAGGTTAAGTAATGATTCGGCGACGGCAGGAGAAGAATTCAGTGACTCAGTGGTTAAGATCGGAATATCAGTAAAATATTTCTCAAAAACTGTTGCGACGTCCTGATCTGATTTAGTTAATTTATTGTTGAAACTTAACTGGTAGTTTGAATTGCGAGAGTTGACCTTACCTGTTTCACTATTAATTATACTCCGTGTCATTTTAATTTTATTAGAAGCAGTCTTTATTTTGTTGCTCAAATACAATGACTTGGCTAAGGAGCACACTCTTTTAAATATTTTGGAATATTTTTTTACATATTCCCTAAATTTGACGCTAGGATTATATGACCTTTCATTGTAAAGTTCATATAACCTTTGTCTACTCTTATGGACTCCTACTGTTGCCCATTCATTAAATGCTTTGCGATTGTTGAAGGAGAATATTTTAGAAGTAAAAGTATTATTAAATTCATTGCAAATAAGCTTAAATAATGTTCCATACAAAAAAATTTGGATTATTTTGGTATGAAAGTAATGGAAGTTTCTTTACTATGTTACTTCTAAACTTCTCCAAGCGATGTGCATTTACTGGAACAAACACTACTTTTTTATCTATTTGCTTTTTGTGAAGATAAGGTAATGAAACTAATTGTCCACGGTGATCAGAGCTCAATTTTTGAATTATACATTTATTGAACGGCTTAACATTTGTAAAAATGTTATCTATACATGTTGCACTAGATTCAGCAATACGTGTTGGCTCCAAAAATAAAATAAAGAGACCATGAGATTTAAACAATGATCTAAATTTAATATTGGTGGAGGAAGCTTCTAGGAGATTGATATTAAAGTCTCCACATATTACAACAGATTTATTCTGTTTATTAAGCTTAGCGAAAACTTCCTCCATAATATTTTCAAAAGTATCATATAAAGAACTTGGGGGTCTGTAAACGCTTACAACAATGGGGTGCTCAAACTCAACATATGCCATTTCTACAGTTCGCTCAACAGAGAGGCTCACAATATCTTTACGTTCTTTATATGATAATAATTTACTAGCTAAAATTAAGGAGCCACCTCTTAAAGCCGTTTCTCCATTGAAAGAACTGACCACCTGGTGATTACTGAAGTTAAACATTAAATTATGAGCTTTTAACCAATGTTCAGTAATACATATAATATGAATATTGTTGCTATTTAAGAACAATTCAATTTCTAGTTCTTTGCCTATCATGCCTTGTATATTCTGATGAACCAGGTGTAAACAATTTTTGTTATCATTTTGTGGAGTTATACAATTCTAACTATTCAGGATTTGTAAGCTACATTCTAAATTATTTAAATTATTATAACTGCTAGAGATTACCTCTATTGTCTCATTTTCTAATTTAAATTACTTGAAACGGATTCCAAACTACATGTCAAATAATTATGCTGCTCAATAGGAGCAGATGTCTGGGTAGCCAAGTCCTTGGCTGAGTTAATATATAAATAATAAGATAGCACATTTGCTATCTGTCTTAAATTATATTTGGATAGGTAATACCTATCTGTAGTTAATAATTTCTTAATTACATTATTAATGTCTATTAAATTAATTCTATTGGTATAATTGTTACAATTAAATAGGGTAGATCGAACTGGTGGTGGCAAATCGTTCCAAAATTATTAGCAGCGGCAAATTTAAAACACCCCCTGGCTCCAGCTCGAGGCTAATCCTGGGCAGTGGAGGCCGATGACTATTTTC